TGAATTATTGTGGAAAACTCTAAACACAAAGCACTTCTTGAACAATGAAACATAAGGTTAACATTTTAAAACAACACAAATGACATTCATTTTCTGAAAATATGTTCATGTCTCACTTTCAAAAATAAATACTGTGAAATGAAGTTGTACACACTTTAATCAAAGTATAACACAGATCATCACTCAGTTTCACAAAATGAAATAAACCAAGCTTAATCACGGTCCAATTTAAAAGGATGCAGAGTGACAGATCAGACTCTCGTACTGATGGTAAAGCCCTGAATGTATGATCAACTGAATATCTGTGTAACAGCTGCACCAGTAGCCATCAGTAAGAACTAAACAAAACACACTTTTACCTTTTTCCTAAGCAAGAAATGGCTCTACTGTCACTGTCACAAGTAATCAGCACTTAAAAAAATATTCTAAATGAACTCCTAAATCTGGTGAATTATTTGTACCAAAAAGACTGGTATAAAAGGTGTTTGGTGAAGCCGTTTGACCATGCCGATAGACTGCCAAGAGAAGGTATTGACATTACAATAAAAAAGACTGCACACAACAGTCATTGTTCAGTACACTCTCTGTACAATATAAGCCAAGATGACTGCTGCCAGCGCGAGCCCGATCCCAATCTTCTTCAGCATTTCTCTGTCCAGACTATTAGATCCAATGGAGAAGGTGCACGGAGAAGGCGTGGGAGCAGAAACATGGACGCCATTGACCTTTTGTTCCTGTCGGAGGAAAACAAGCAGATTAAAAAGAATCCCAACACAAATCAGAGAGTTAAGAGAGTTTTTTCTGCACCATTTATAACGATTAGTAGTTTAAATGATTTAATTTTAGCATCATCTGTGATATGTGAAAACCCATCTCCTATGCAGACACACAGAGAGCTTGATACTGAGGCGGTTCATATCATGTATATGTATATAATTATGGTGGAATCATCTTTAAAATAAATCAGCTGGCCACAGTCACAAATCAAAGAAGGCTTGACAGCACAGTGAAAAAGATAAAGAAGAGCATTTAAGGACCAAACCCCAGCTGTCTTTGAGTCTATTCCACAACACACAAGCTATTTCTTTGAATATGACACTTCAGCCAACTAAATAATTTAACTGCAGTTACTGGACAGATGTGACGCAAGCCCCAAAAGAAATATCAAAAAATAAAAAAAATAAATCCATTCATAGATCATACATGTTGATTACTGCGTACATTTTGAAATATATCTATGGATGCTGGTATGCTGGCATGATGATAATGACAAGGATTTATCACTTCCTCTGCTTGCTCACTGCTGTCTCTTCCTTACACCTTCTGTCTCTCTCCATCTGTTTCCTCTCTAGAACTCAGTTTCATGTGGAAAGGAAAACAATAATAAAGTCAATTTAAAATGCAGTGCTTGTTTTAATACTTTGCGGATGAAAGCATTCATAAAACTGGCCATTTGCTTATGCAAATGAGTGCATTTCAATTATGATGCTATTATCTCTGTGTAAGCAGTTAATGCAGTTTTGTAGTGATCCAATTACTGCAGAGTGCTGTCTATTGAATGGAGCTGATGTTGAGAAGGTGCACTGTTATGTAGTTAGAGAAGCCTGGATTGACATGAGGAAAGAAGACTGATGTGATGGTGTTATAGCGGCACGGCTGAAGCAAGACTGTGGTAAAAAGACGGTGACTGCATTTGTATTACAGTGAAATGATACTGCTCTGCTACAGCTATCAATTCAGCCTACAATATCAAGATCCTAAAATCAAGAACAAAGCAACTTTCTAAAATCAATAAGAGGAAGCATTAAGCCAAGAATGCTGAAGCAAATGGCTACAGATAGTCTGGTTCTGTTATTTAAGTCTGCAGTGTTCTTCATCAGTGGCACATACAGTGCTGTATAATCAGACAATTGGCAACATGTTAGTAAATTTGATGTTGATAACAATGGTGATATACAATATGGCTCAGACCTCAACACCCTAAACCTCTGGTCAACACAACTACTGCTACACTCAACCTCTGCGAAAACACTTATGATTGCAAGATGACAGCAGAGGTGACCCGGTGGGAGGAAACTTGTCTCCAAACAATCTCAGTCCAATTTGTACCAACTGCAATGAATCTGAGACAGATTGCCAACACGTTGCCATTAGTCTGAGTCAGCCTGCACGGATGAGCCCAACTCGTCACCACATCTCTGCAGCAGTGGACTCGACTTAGCTGGTTGCCAACTGGTTGTATTCCAATTACATTGCTATACAAAAGTAAGGTTGCCAAACAGTTATGTCATTTTGCAGTTAAACTGCTGTCCTGGAGCAATTACGTCACTATTTGTGGCGAATACAAGTACTTAATGTCTGTATATAGACGGCAATAGATTTGCAAGTTTCACCAGTTTAATTAACTATATTATCACAGACAGAATGCAAAGAAATGCCAGCCTGACCACTTTTGAGTGGTCAGACCTGGTCCCTGTTGTTGAAGAAACCATTTCAAAGGTAGCAACAGTGCAAGTTCATTGCACACGACTGCAAAAGTTTTGGTCGTGCTGCAGTCTCCAACTACTGTCTGATTGTAGCATTTCAATATTTTGTGAATGTTCATAAAAGACATTCATCCGTTAGACCAGGGGTGTCAAACTCAAATACAAAGTGGGCCAAAATTCAAAACTGGAACAAGGTCGCGGGCTAACATTAATATTTATTGAAAAAAAAAAATCTTCCTCCAGATTTAAGAATGAATCTCTTCTTATGGACTCAAACAAGTTTTTCTGAAAACTGAATATGGAACAAGCAAAGCTTAATACTAAACAATATACATATTAGCTGTATAATACCAGCAGGCCAGCTCTAATAATAATTTGGTATGGCTTCGCAGGCCAAATTTGGCCTGCGGCCAGAGTTTGACACCTTTACGTTAGACTGATTTCTAATATTTAAATATTTAAATATGTAATATATGTTCAGCGTGCAGTCCTTCATTTACATTTGTTATCTCATTATTTTAGTCAGGTTATCCACTCCTGATTCAAAGCATTTTTTAAAAGTTAGATTTAGCAATTTCCATGTTTGCCATGAAACATTTCAACAATGTACATGATCATGTGACGTTCAAAAATGCAGTTTGTGGCGAGAAAAACATCAAAAACTCGTTTCAGGCCTTGATAGCTGTAATAATTCAGTTAGTAACACTGACTATTAATCACTAGCCCAATTTCTCCCTGGCCTCGACCCACCATCATTGATCACCATTCTGTTTGATTACACATTTATATGATTTTATCGTAATGTATGAGAACGGAGACCTTAGGTGTGATTTGAAGCTAGGCTAATTAATTGATTGATTTATAAATAAATAATCCTTCACGGTGTGGTACTTTTAATTTCAGCCTTAAACAAATTGCAAGAAGAGGAAAACGGGGAGACAATCGATCCAAATGTCCTTGTTCATGTACGTTGCTTTTAAATATGCCATCATCTTCATATTCCACGTCTCTTTAACACGTAATATGTGGTGTTTCCAATTTTCTGTACCTTTCAAGCTTTTGTTTTTAGGCCAACAAAGAAAAATTCCAAAATAAAAAGAGACTACAGAAACTCACACTTCACATACAAACATACTAAGATATTTTTACCCAAGGACTGAAAGCAAAACAATGGCAAACTTTGTTGACTACAAACACCTGCATGTACACTATACATTCATATGAAACTGAGCATCACTGCACGCCTACACGTCTTGCACGCACATGGCTGCGTGAGTGAGCAGCTGCACAGTGTCTTGTCCTCTACCTCTCTATCCTCCGCATTACTCTCGCTCCCCTCTACTTGCTGGAGGTTGTGAATGCTACCTTGCCACCCACTCTTTTCCTGAACACACTGTCATGAATGGGTTCCTCTGTTACGGGCACACAATGGTGAATGGATACTATAACCGACAACGCCTAGGTGACACATCTCTAAGTCGCTTACAGTAACTTCAGACAATGAGTCGAGAGAGAATCTGTAACAGTCGTCTAGCTGACGCATCCACATTCGCTTAATGTTAGGATCACAGCTTGACTCCCTAATGGCAAAGTGATACGCTGTTTTGTTTTTAAAGATGCTTGAAAACAATAAAGGTGCATTCAGGCTCAGTGGCAAGACACGCTTGCCACTGAGCCTCATGACTGTGAGAATTGCATCATGATGGATGAACCTCATTCAGATTTGGATCGCCCATCCACTCTCATCCAGAACATCATATTTATAAAGTTCTTTTCTATGAAGATAAATGCTAAGTATTGTTAGTATGGTAATATAGTATTATTAGGGATAGTAGTGATAGTTTTGCGGTGCATACCACACCGGGCAGAGAGGGAAGCTGATAAGCGTGTATGCCCAAAAAACCCTTATCAATAAAGACCCGTCACCTTGCAACGGCGGGTGCGTGGGTCATCCTCCTGTCACGGATAGGTTTTAAAAGAAAAGACATGGCAGATGAGGAAAAAGTTACAAGACAAAGTAAATATTTAATCACCACTGTGACAAAAGAAGAAGTTTATAAAGCGTAAAGGACTAATGCAAGAGAAATAAATATGCGTTGGGCCAAGTCCACCACCTTCTTCTCTATGCTTCTATTTATCTGTCTCTCTGCAGGTGTCTTTTAACAATGGGGTGCCAGAAGAGACACTGAACACTACAGTCGAAAATCTATTACTAGTAAGAGGGATAAGTGAAAATCCAAGTGCCAGTAGGTGCGTGTCAGCACAGTAGGAAGCAGCGGAGCAGAAGAGCAGAGAGGAGAGAAGGAAAAACTGAGAAGAAATGAGAAGCACAAGAAAGGGAGCCCCCCCCCAAAAAAAGAGATGTGGCTTTCAGTGATAGTTTACCACCTGCTAGCTGGCATGCTGAGTTTGTGCATTTCTGTGAGAAAGACAGCTGGCATTTGTGAGTGAGTGTGTGTGTACATGTGGAGACCTGTGGTAGATAATGTCTGTCTCTCTGCTCACAGCAGTAAAACACAGCAAAATAATCCCCCTGAAAATCATCTAACACTACACCAGGAGTACAGACTGGCTAGCACAGCTAGATACTTTTCCCTCAAGGTCTAAGGCTTTTCAAATGTCTGTTTCTTGGAGAAAAAGAAAGAGAGAGCGAGCGGGGGAAAAAAAAAAAACAGAAAACGAAAACTCTTGCTCCAGTTCCACATATGCACCTTTTTTAAAACAAAATCTGCCTGCGCGTCTGCTGCAGCCTTTGCCAATACACTGACATATTCGCACAAAAACACACACTGTGAAATGCACAACACATCACGAGAGCCAGGAAGCACAGTGCACAATGGTCACATTTCTCACATGATCCTCACCAGCTGTCAGTGTCACTCTAGACACACACAGACCATGGAAGTTGGTGCGTGCGCGTATAAACAGATACTGTAACAGGCTCCTTAGTCACGGCTGATTCAACAAAGCCATAATGACAATCACAGTGTGCTGTAGCTGTATTTACAACAGGAAATAGGGACAGTCGGGGGAAAAAGGAGGAATTGCAAATTTTTCTTTTTCTCACCAAAAGGTCATTAACCTAAAACCAAAGATGGAAAGAGTGATTTCCATCACTAATGTATGAAAGTCTAGCAAAGCTAGAGCACTAACAGCTATGCTCCTGAGGGCTGGAAGTGTAGTGTAACCCTCCTGCCTTTGCCAAGCTCCCAACCCCAGGGGAAACCGTAGTTCTTACTAAAAAATGT